TGGTGACAGCGAATACAGTGAAGAATCAGAGTCACTCACCACACTACAGGCTGGTATGTGAATGCATTAAATCATGAGTTACTTTAGAACGCGACGCTTTCCTCTTCTGGTTATAGAAGCAGAAGTTCTCGTGCAAGTGAAACCATTACAGTGTACATGGTTAGAGTGGTTACCTCTTCCAGTCTACCTGGAGCAGTGCTGTTTCAGCCGTTCACTCCTGCATCCAGATCACAAAAACAGAACCAGGAAAGAGTTTGAACATAGTCAAACCTCTGCAGTCACCTGTCTTCATCCTCAACCACCTCCCTCCCTCTTCCACATCTAGCTTTGCATATTCTTTCGTTATGGGCCAATCTCTTCCATGCATTGCACGTTGCCTGAAGTGGCCCTGATGCTGTTAGAACAGAGGAGGAGAGTAGGGGCTGCAGCTGAGGCTGGCTGCTGTGGAGTGCAAAACCAGTGTTGCGACGGACACCTTGGGGTTGAGGAAACCGGTAGATGGGAAAGGTTGGGGGTAATTTTGAAGAGCGGTAATAGGGACATTAAAGCATCATAGAGCGGAACATCCAACGCAGCTTACACAGCCTCCGATTGAGTGCAGGAAGCTCCTGCAGCCAATTGGAAGCTGCGCCTTGGTTTTTGAATGGTTTTGGGAGTCAAACAGACTCCCAGAACAGATTAAGTTCAAGAACCAAGGTACCACTGTAATTCGAGGAAACAAATGGTCCTAAAGGGGATAGGGAGGGGGCAATGATGGGCAGAGCAGATTGTACAGAGGGCAAAGGACACCCATTACCAACTGGACCCAAGATATTCCACATCGTGGAAATGTTCCGTCATCAAAAACCATTGTCTCCCTGCTTTCGAATTGCAAAATCCACCAATATTCTGTAAAATGCTAACCAGTTTGGGCCTTTACCACCAACAGCAAGTTGTCAACTGAGTGCAACAAGTAGCCTCCCATTTCTCAGGGCTCTGTGTCTCATGAAGACAAGCAAGAACAGCTTGGATCTTCTTGCATTTGACTCATATATATATATTTTTCCTCTTCCCTCAGCCCCAGAGGAAGCTCCCACTATCTTGTCAGTGACCCCACACACCACCACATCTGTACTGATCCGCTGGCAGGTAGGGTGATGTACCTTTTCTTTCTCCCCCATTGGAACTCGATGAGTAGGAGAGCTGGAATGTTCAAGAGTTCTCGCTGTCTTGGGGAAAAACTTCCGACCAATGAAACATGACTGTGCTGCACAGTGGTTCTGGTTGGCATTCTAAGCTTATTTCTGATGGCCAGCAAATCTGGTAGTGTCTCTGTCTTGAGCAGGCATAGGCAAACCCAGCCCTCCAGATGCTTTGGGACTACAACTCCCATCATCCCTGACCACTGGTCCTGTTAGTTAGGGATGATGGGAGTTGTAGTCCCAAAACATCTGGAGGGCCGAGTTGGCCTATACCAGGTCTTGAGCATGGTCTTAGAAAGTTGAGTTTGAAAACGGTCATGAGATTTGCAACCATGTCTATTATGCACAGATATATACCTAGTTTCCGCACTTTAGCCCCAGCTCAGAATTCTTTATTCCACCCACAAAAGAAGGTTTTGCTGTCAAAATGGGGCAGGTGACTTTGGTGATGAAACTGTGGACTCTGTTGAGTTTGCATGCATGTTGCAGCAAGGGGGTGGTGGAAGGCTATGGAGGATCTGAAAAGTGGGAAACAGAAATGTTTAACCAACCAGTGTGAAATATTGGCTTGAGGTAAAGGTAAAGGGACCCCTGGCCATTAGGTCCAGTCGTGGCCGACTCTGGGGTTGCGGCACTCATCTCACTTTATTGGCCGAGGGAGCCGGCGTACAGCTTCCGGGTCATGTGGCCAGCAGCACCAGAGCAGCACACAGAAACACAGTTTACCTTCTCGCCGGAGCGGTACCTATTTATCTACTTGCACTTTGACGTGCTTTCGAACTGCTAGGTTGGCAGGAGCAGGTACCGAGCAACAGGTGCTCACCCCGTCACAGGGATTCGAACCGCCGACTTTTTGATCGGCAAGTCCTAGGCTCTGTGGTTTAACCCACAACGCCACCCGCGTGATGCTTGAGGTAGGCATCAGTAGTTTGGCTAGTACACCCAACCCATCCATTCCTCAAGGCAAAGAGCATATAAAGATGCTGAGGCGCCTTTTGCGGGTCTCCAGTGATGCTTCCCTCCTGGCAATGACAGGGAAGGGAAGCCCTGGCATTTCAGCTCCACTTCCAGCTTTTGACTGGGCAATGGGAGGTGACAGTATTAGAAAGCAGGTATAATATGGGACAGAATCCTTTTGTTGGAAGCCGGTCTCACAAGTGTCAGCTGTGCAAGGGGAAGCAAATGAGAGTTTGTGAGTCCCTCGTTGATTTATCTGTTTCTCCTTCCATAGGCTCCATCTGAGGACAGAATCAATGGCATCTTGCTAGGTTTTCGCATCCGCTACCGGGAGCTGGCATACGAAGGGGTGCGAGGATTCACTGCACGCAGTATCGGCAATCCCAGTGCAAAATGGGCAGAACTCACCTGTGAGTATGCTTGTGAGCAGCGAGGGTTCTGGGAACTGGAGAAAGTGAGAATTTAGCCAAGGTCTGCCCCTGCCCACTGCCTTCAACTTACGCTGCAGCAAAAAAACCAAAACAAAAAAAAACAAGCCAACAAACACCAGCATGGGAACCATCATTCCAGAGCAAGCCACCCATAACAAGCACTGGTCCTAAGTACTGCCCAAGATTTAGCACTAATTTTACCCAGTGCTTTCTCCAGTAACAAAAGTGACTTGACAAGCATTTTCCCCTGCAGTCATAAGTCAGCGTGGCAAGCATTCAGAAGCTGCTCTAGAATAATACATTGTTGTTCCCAGTGCGTTTGAAATGGAAAACATTGATCTTAGCAAGTGGTTGGTATATTCAGCCCTATCAGCTTGGTCTTTTTAGTGCTAGGGTGTCTCTTTCTGAGAGAGACTTTTCCTTTTGGTGGAATTGCTGGATCCAATGACAATGGGCTCTTGAGTCATTTGGGAAGATCTATCACCCATGCTATCCTGATGCCCATAAACTCTTTCTGGTCAGGTTTGTCCATCTTTGGTAGCTACAACCCCTCTCTGGGATATTTCCCCCCTTTCCCAATACTTCGTTGGAGACTTCTCGGTGTTCTTTGATGTGGCTGTGAGTTTCTCTCCTAGCTGCTTCTCCCTCACTCCCAATTGATGTCTGTTAGTCCTGCTTGCATTGTCAAGATGTTTATTTACATGTGGCTAACCTGCATTGACTGCTTCTCCCTTCTGACCACCTGCCACCCCACAGCAACGTATGCCATGCGGAACCTGACTGAGGCCTCCCTCACACAATACGAGCTGGACAGTAAGTGGGTGCTTCATCTCTTGTCTGTGCGATTGTTTCTGCTTGTGTTTCTGGTCTCCCTTGAATCCGGTTCCTATCTAGATTTTAGCACTGTCACCAGTGTGGTGTAGTGGTTAAGAGCGGTGGACTTGTAATCTGGTGAGCAGGGTTCGCGTCTCCGCTCCTCCACATGCAGCTGCTGGGTGACCTTGGGCTAGTCACACTTCTCTGAAGTCTCTCAGCCTCACTCACCTCACAGAGTGTTTGTTGTGGGGGAGGAAGGGAAAGGAGAATGTTAGCTGCTTTGAGACTCCTTAGGGTAGTGATAAAGCAGGATATCAAATCCAAACTCTTCTTCTCTTCTTCTTCTATGGAGGGTGACAGGCTGCAGGGAGAACAGCAGCTCTTTCCCTGTTTTTGTTGTTGTTGTTAGCTCATCACTTTCTAGAGCCCAGGATGTCCCCTTTGCCCAAGGATAGCTTCTTTCGCTTCCAATTAAAATCCCTAATCTGACAAAAAAGAAAGTGCAAGTTCCCCATGAGTAGATGTCCCGGTTTCCTGATCACAATATAATAACAGAACTAGTTTTGTGTTTGTCATCCAAACACACAGGCAGTCCACATTTGCTTTTTATGGTGTTTTCCCTGTTAATTTGGGTACTCTTTCCTAACTGCTTAGAGTGGAATAATAGAGAGCAAAGCGGAGATTTGTGGTAAATTTAGGGGCTTTATGTAGGAGCAGGGAAGTAAGGACCATGGTTCATGAAGAAGAATTTTGCTTACATGAAATATCTCCCTTTCAATACTGTAAGGCCTGTTAAGGCTGTGTACACACTATATGTTTTTAAAACACATTTGAAGCACATTCTTGCCCTCAAATAATTCTGGGCACTATCACATGCCTGGGTTGCTGGAAAGCAGTAGTAGTAAATTACAGTGCCTGAAATATTTGAGGGAAAGAATGCATTTTGAACATGGTATATAGCATGTACACAGCCTAAGACTCGTTTTCATCTTGCTTAGCTTTTGCTTAGAACCACGAAGGCTTTCTAAAGTGCTAGTTCACATACTGGAAGGCAGACGTCACAATTATTTTTTCTGGTGCCCTTGCTCTGTCCTCTTACCTTCTGGAGAAATATCCTGGCACCATCTGCCAGCTTCGCAAAGGGCTGTGAAGGAGTTAGTACCGTTGTGGGAGTGGTGTCAGGTAGGAGCACGCAGAAAGGAGGGAAACGTGAAACCAGATCATAGCCAGGAATGTATATGCCACTACTTTTAAAGGCAATGCCATAATTAAGAAACAAACTCTGCCTCTGCCTCCATGTATAACAATCTCTTTTCTGCCTCTCACCTCTGCAGACCTGAACAAGCACCGCCGCTATGAGATCCGAATGAGTGTCTACAATGCCGTGGGTGAGGGCCCCACCAGCTCACCACAGGAGGTCTTTGTGGGCGAGGCTGGTAAGCCAGGCATCTTTTTTTTTCCCCTCCAGGAGCCGTTTTCTCTCTCAAGTTTCTGTTTCCCTGTATCCTTGTGCTTCCTGAGAGCTTAGAGCAAAAGCCTGAGGAGGGAGCAGGCTGGCAGGCTGAAAGAGCAACGAATTGTATTGCCTGCAGCTCTAGTGCAAGCCTACAAGTAAGGGCCATAGTTCAGTGGTACAGCATCTGCTTTGCATGCAGAAGGTCCCAGGTGCAAATCTCAGCATCTCCAGGTAGGGTTGGGAAGGACTCCCTGGACTGAAACCCCGAAGAGCTGTTGCCTGTCAGTGCAGACAGTACTGAGCTGGATGGACCCAGTGGCCTGATTCCATGTAAGGCAGTTGCCTATGTCTCATGCCCATTAACTTCCAATCCCACACAACAAGCCAGCAGATCCATTCCTTAATCAATACAGAGGCAGCTGCCAGCAAGAGGTCATTAGGGGTGGATCCCAAGAGCATACAGGTCTGTGGCCAAGCCCGGAAGCTCATGTAGGGTAAACAAACATCCATTCCAAACCAAAAAAACAGTCCCTGCTTCTCTGTGGACTTGTCAGAGCATCAATTAACTCAGGCACCACACCTACTCGGCCCCAGACACACTGACCCGATGCTTGGAGGCTGTGGCTGGATAGTTTCCTGGGAGCCGATTGAAACTAAATCCTTCAAAGACAGAGGTCGGGATGGCATGGGGATGAGGGACCAACTCCCTTCTCTTGCGGGGGCCCAATTAGTGCCAGTGCCTTCCGTTAAGAGTTTGGGTGTAATCCTTGACGCCTCCATGGTTACAGCAACAGCTAAGGCAACATTTTCCCATCTTCGCCTCAGTAAGCAGTTGGTCCCTTACCTTTCCCGCCCCGATCTGGCCACAGTGATCCATGCGACGGTCACCTCCAGGCTTGACTACTGTAATTCGCTCTACGCAGGGCTGCCCTTGAAACTGTCCCACAAACTCCAGCGGGTGCAGAATGCTGCAGTGAGGCTCCTCATGGGGTCCCTGCCATGGGAGCATATTCACCCAGTTGCACTGGCTCCCGATGGAGTATACGGTCAGGTTCAAGGTGCTGGTCTTGACCTTTAAAGCCCTTTGTGGCTTAGGGCCCTCGTATCTACGGGACCACCTCTCCTGGTATGCCCCGCAGCAGACCTTAAGGTCCATGAATAACCATAGTTTAGAGGTCCTGGGCCCTAAGGAAGTCAGACTATCCTCCACCAGGGCCAGGGCCTTTTCAATGATGGCTCCGACCTGGTGGAATGCTCTGTCCCATGAGGGCCCTTCAGGATTTAACCTCCTTCCGTTGGGCCTGTAAGACAGAGCTATTCCGCCTGGCCTTTAATTTGAATTCAGCCTGATCTTTTATTTCCCTTCTCTTCCCTCCCCCTCCCCTTTTGTGAAGATCACCCGCTCTGAGACCCCACAACTAATTCTCCCCTGGCCTCCTCGCTGGCCCAAGTAGGACCAATTCAGCCAGCTAGCCCTGGGGGCTATCTAATGGATTTTTGAATTTTGAATTTTATTGTTATTCATGTATTTTATGCTTTATAATTAAGTGTTTTAAAGTGTTTTAAATTTGTTGTTAGCCGCCCTGAGCCTGGTTTTTGAACCGGGAAGGGCGGGGTATAAATAAACATTTATTATTATTATTATTATTATTATTATTATTCTCGCTAACATCCGGTTCTGCTCTCTTCAGTCCCTGCAGCTGCACCACAGAATGTGGCCATCCAAAGTGCCACAGCCACCCAGCTCGACATCACATGGGAGCCGCCACCCCCCGAGGCACAGAATGGAGACATCCAAGGCTACAAGGTACCAGGCCATAGGAGGGAGGGATCTGGGCTACAGGTGAAGAAGGCTGGTGCACTTGTCACCCTGGGGGACGTTTGTGGATAGGAGGCGAAACCTTTTGCACTGCAGAGTTTGTAAAGGGAGTTGCCGTTGTTGTTGCTGCTGCTGCTGCCACATAAACGTATTGCGGCGTCTTCTTGCATATTCCTCTACAGCCTAATATGTTAGAAACTCTTGCAGTAATGGGGAATGGTGTTCCAGTGCATGATGTCAGGCTAGATTGGGGTAGCCCATGTGATTCCCTTCTGATGTTGTAAGCCTCCCACTCACATCAGCCCCAGCCAGCATGAGTAGTAGTCAGGGATTGTGGGAGTTGTAGTCCATATCATCAGGAGGGTACCACGTTGGCCTACGAGTGCCTTGCAGCAGTTCGGAATCTACTTTAAAGCCAGCAGATATTCTGGCTGGATCCATTTAAAGGGTGGGACTGTGACTTCAGCAGCCCTATGTCTGTTGGAGAATGGAAATGAAACAAGCAAGAATTTTTTTGGGGAGGGGGGATGTGTTTCTACATTTCCCCTGCAAGTGATGCTGTTGAGCTTCAAATAAAACACTGGAATTTCACATGCTGTGCCTTGTCAGGATTGCTTTTGTCCCTGAGGAACTAAGGGCTGCTCTGCGCCTTACGTTTTTTATGGGTATGTTGAAAATGCACGAGCGTGGCACCTTTTAAAACTGGAAAGTGTGCCTGTGTCAGGTGCAAATTTACAACAGATGCATTCCTCCAGGAGACTGAGATTGGCCATTACAATATATGCTTGAGATAATAATAATAAATTTTATTTATACCCTGCCCTCCCCAGCCAAGACCGGGCTCAGGGTGGCTAACACCAAATATAAAAACAATTGATTGAAATACAGCTTAAAAAAACAAGATTAAAATACAACATAAAACATTAAAATGCAGCCTCATTTCATTGGAAACTCAAATCAAAAAAATTTTGGGGGATGAAAATGTCAAGTCTTCACCAAGGCTAACTATCCAGATGGCAAATGTTTGTGGCATGTGAAATGACCTTAGTTCTGGGCTGTTCATGTGATTTGTTCAAGCCCAGCATAGACTCTCTTTTTTTGCAATGTGCTTAAAAGCCTGTCCCCTGGATTGTGGCAGATGACAGAGCATCCAGCCACCATATTGTGGAACTGGAATTAGCCTCTTGCCAATCCCTGCGCAGCCATTCTTCATCCTGTCTTCAAGCATCCCATCCGTGATCTAGTGAGGCACTTTACAAGCCAGTAGATCTGCGGTTTTGGAAAGTTGCTTCCTTGTTTCCTAAGAAACCTCCATGGGTGCCGGGAAGCGTTGCCATGGAGCCTGCTTGCTGCAGTCTCTCTGGCGCCTTGACTTCATGGCTTGGTGGGATGGTCCGGCTTCTCTGTGGAAGTCTGGATATCACCCAAGAGTGACTTCAGAGGTGCACTGTTAACTACTCCATTCTTAGTCCATCCCCATGAGCCAAGGCTGCAAAATGGATTGCCTGTTCTGTCTTGCCTAGTTCAGGGGCCAACATGTCCTAATTGTTATGTGCCCATTTAACAGAAGAAGCTCACCTTCCCCGTTGAGAATCCTCAGGGGGAAATCTTTTGAGGTGCTTAATTCATTTCATAGCCTTTGGAAACGTGTTTTCACAGGCCAGCTTAAAAGTTTCTGGAACATAGTGGCATGAGCTAGGTATAAGAAAATTTCGCTGTGTGTGTAACAAGGAGATTTATGTCCTGTGCTTTGAATAAATAAAAGAAACTTTTGCACACACATGTATTGGGCATTAGGACTTGTATCCTGAAAATTTTTATTTATGTATGCCATTACAGTGGCCCATGTTTTGTTAGCCCAAAAATGGAAAACGAGCGAGGTCCCAACTAAAGAAGAATGGCAACTTAAACTGATGGAATATACGCAGCTTGCAGATCTAACTTATAGAATAAGAGAACAAGAAGAACATTTGTTTAAAGAAGATTGGGAAATGTTTATTGAATATATGGGGGGAAATTGTATACACTTGAAAATGTTGGCAGCATTAGGAAAAATTCAACAGTGTAAATAAGTTTTGATGGAAGTAATAATGGAATACTGAATGGTTTAGTTTATATAAAATATGCAGGGATTTATGTTATGCAAAATGAACCATGGAAAGAGAAGAAGGGAAGTAATTGATATATTAAGGTTGTTTAAATGAATAGTCTAAATTGTGAAACAGGAAATTTATATATATATATATATATATATATATATATATAAAAATATATATATATATAGAAAAGGACTTGTATCCAACTAAGTCAAACTTAGAGGAGCTCCTTTGGGATTAATTTAAGTTAGCCGAGCATATTGATTTCATTGGGCCTCTTCTGAATTTGAGTTATTTAAGTAAATTTGAGCTTATCCACACTTACCTTTTTTTCTTTCTCTTTCCAGGCAGAGCTCTACACGTTAATAATAATAATAATAAATTGCCCTGAAGCTTTCCCTCTGAAATGCCGCTCTTTAAAGCTGAACTGGAGCAAACATCAATATGAGGTTTCCCACAGATTGACGTTTGCTCCGATTGAGCTTTAAAGAGCAGGTTTTCACTGGGAAAGATCCGGAGCCCAAAAAGGGCTCTTGGACATGGAGCTTTAAATCGTGGACACTGCCTGGAAAGAGTGGAGAAAAGGTGAAATGTGGATAAGCCCTGAGTTGGAAAGAACCCAGTGTTTTTGGCTTTAGCTGCATCTGAACTTATGGCAAGGGACTGGGGTAGCAGAGAGCAACAAAGGACAGAGAGATGTTAAAATAATGGACAGTGGCCAGAGAGCCAAGAGTAAAAAATATTTTAGCATTGTACCAGGGCATCTGCTGTTACCCAGGATAGTAGGGCACAGTCATAGTTAGCAGGCCCATCATGCCGGTGAACTCCCTCTCTCCACCTGCCCCTTCCTCCATCTCTGGATTTCCTCTTTAAATCTCCCTCCCTCTGCAGCCCTATTCACTGTGGCAAACTTGTTATATGCCTCCATCATCCAGTTCTCACCAGGTGACCATCCCTTAGCCATGCCGGCTGGGGCTGATGGCAGCTGGAACGCAACCACACCTGCAAGGCCACAGATTCCCTTTCCTCCATTCTAGATGGTTGAGCTACTGCCTGATTTGTATGACTTGAGGAAATTATTAGCAGGACAAGCCTATGCTGATAAAGGCGGTAGCGATTCCAAGGAATGAACAATAATATATATATATATATATATATGACTCCACATTTCGGAGTGGAAGAGCAGCATTGTTGGAAACGCATTGGTGACCACAAAGAGAAAAATGGGTGCTACTTCTCCCCCCCCCCTTTTCCTCACTACGTCCCACTTCCTCTTCCCTACAGATCTATTTCTGGGAGGCCCAGCGGCAGAACG